CTGGCTTAATTCTGGGTTGCTACCATTGTTGCACACCACATTTTCTTTATTTAAAAATTAGACTTCATAAAAAGTTGAACCCTACAAAAATCTGAACATATAGGCACACCAATTTTCTTTTTCTTTACTCTGGGAGCACTCCAGAGCCTTACAGCATCTTAGCTAGTGATGCCTTTTTTATTTTAATTTGTAGTGAATTTGACATAAATAGATATGTCTTGGAAAACTACAGTTCTGGTCACTCTGAAATTCAAGAAGTCATTCATACAGGTCACTCCAGCTTCTCTAAGTAGCGCAAAGCAAACGCCTTTACTAAATGAAATATTCCTTATATTCTTTGATGGCTTGTGAACAATATTCCTCAGTTTACTCTGCTGCTGTTTTTATCCTTGGGGCACACAGTCTCCCCACCTCACACACTGGCCCAGCACACCTCTGATCGCTCAGCCCGAATGACCTAAATGCACCTCATCTCCCCCTTCTCTGTGCTTCCTTTCAGTGGAACCACATCTCCCACTCCTCTGTGCCTTCTTTCAGTGGAACCTCATCTCCCACTTTTCTGTGCTTCCTTTCAGTGGAACCTCATCTCCCACTTTTCTGTGCTTCCTTTCAGTGGAACCTCATCTCCCACTTTTCTGTGCTTCCCTTCAATGGAAAATGGGTAAAAGGCAGATGGAGTGCACACTGAGCCTGCTCCAACCTGCTGCTGGAAGAATAGCATGGAGCTTACCTAAAGTGCTCCTCTGTGCTCCAAGAAGAAACTTTACCTAAACTATCTACACAGCTTAAATTTTGTTTCAGAAAAATCGTACGAGGCTTTGAGAGCTCTCTCATGCACAAGCACAATACTTTTGCTATGTATTCTTTTTTAAATCACCAAAGAATTCAAAACTGAACACATCCAATTACTCAGGGATGAACTAAAATTCTACTCATGCTAGAAATAAAAAAGGAGTTCAGAGGTTTACTCTGTTCCTGAACAGAGAACTTGTTCAGACAACTTAAGCAGAAAAGAAAGGGAAAAAAAAAAGAAAAAGAAAATCATGGCTGATTTATGAAATGTCACTACCTTCAGCTGTGCAGAAGAGCAATTAATAAGCAGGGAAAGCTCTTCAGCAGTTGATGAAAGGGCAGGCAGGATGATGAAGTTTAGAATTGGCTAGTGAAAGTCTAGCTGTTTTTTCCTGCCTACAAATTAAAGGTTTTCCTCTGTAACTACCAACAAAATATGTAAGATTGGTGGCCAAACTACAGACTTTCTTCCCCTCCCCACTAAGAAACTGCACTCTTGCAACATAAGACTTACTTTTTTAGTCAATTTAAAATCTCTTAATCTTAACTGTCTCTACAGAACATGTAAAACTTGCTTTCACTACATGGAAGTCTGTCTTATGCTATTATCCTGCTGTTGGCCCATAGGAAACATTAAGAAGCACTCAATGAGCTCAGTTCGATTATTTATTCCTGCAATTCAACACATTTTAATATTGCTAAAATTTGCACTTCTGTTGTTTGCAAACAAGCTGGGCTTTGAGTGAACATTCAGCTTTAAATAACCTGGCCCCAGTTTTCATGTCATGAAAAATTACATAATAACTGTTACAGCAGTTTTCTTGCAGTATTTTCCCTGTTTATTCAAAGTAACTGTAAGGATAAGGTTTTTTTAGGCAGAAGCACTAAGGAAACGAGATCTGCAGTTATGGAAAGAGCATAGAGAGAGAGGGAGGAAAGACCCTGGGTAACTTATGCAAGTTTCTTAACTTTCTTCAGTTAGACTGAAAAAATCCTTACAGCTGCCAGTAGCCTGGCAATGTCATGTGTTTTATTAAGAGTTTTGCAGATTTGATGTGGAATATCTTATTGTTGGCTGCTTGTAATAAAATGCTAATCACGGGACTAGACTCAATCACTAGCTGACATAGTAAGATCTTGTTATGTTAAATCTCAGCAGTAATCTCAGTAATCTCAGCAAAGTGAACAGCCCACAAAAACAGAGTCAAGCAAGTATCCTCGCTACTCACTATTCTGCAGTGGATCTCTCTGATCTTGAGGAAATTCTACTGTGTCTGAATTCTCCAATGTGAGAGACAAAAAAAAATATTTCCCCAGAAACCAACATCAAGCACATGATGATTCTTTACTGAAAAGCAGTTTCAGTAAGAAAACTCACTATTATTAAATAAGTTAAAAGATTGTGGTCTTTGTTTATCAAAGCATGATAATCAACAAAGTATCTTTTATGCCATAATTGCCTGACACAGTAATGTAATATTAGGATCACAAGCTTACTACATCAATGCTAGAATCTTTCAGTAATATTTGAAAATGCAAAAGAAATCATGCTAGACATTTAGCTTGCTAAAGACTAAGGATCTAGTTAGTGACAAGAGAAAGAACTTAAATGGATGTAGGAGCAAATTAACTCTATGAAGCAGAGATAAGAACATGAGAATTGAATGTGAACATTTTAAATTTTTAGGATGTATATTCTTGAGTTAAGAAATTTAATCTCAACAAAAGATAAAATCAAAGTCATTAGGAACTGAAGGCTTATAGGAGTACATGACACTTAATAATAGATCTGAAGTTTTCTCTAGTAAAAAGATGAATTCTTTTTACCAGTTTAACACCTCTAATGTTTTCCATCTTTATTGATTCTTCTATAGGATAGTTAAAACACTGCTTGAATTACCTTAATCTAAAAGAAGTCTCAAAATTGCGACAGAACTGCAAGTTGCTCGCTCACATATTTTTAATTAACTTCCCAAGCCTGGAACAACTAGACTGGATATCAACCATGCCTGTACTAAAGGCAACCTGTGACTTTCAGTATGAAGTGTGCAGACTTCTCATATTGTTTCCTCCTCCAGGAACTGTGAAAAGTAACCATCTACTGCTTGATGTGTTTGCTGAAAACATGATAAATACTATGGTCAAGATGCCTGCACTCCCCTGCTGATCCAGGAGGCAATATTTAAAACATCCTACAGCCAGTTCTCTACCTGGATGTGAAGTGCATCATTATTACTGAAATACTAATGTTTATCAGCTTCCTAAAGCAGAAACACACTGCAAAAGCAGTAATGTATTATTCCATGTATGAAAAGAAAATCTTTGTTTTCTACCTCACCAACACTGTCCAGCAGAAATAAACACATGCTACAGCTCTCCTTCATTTGGGTTACAGAAAGCAACTAGGCTTTTAAGATATATAAAATTTACAGTGTGAAAGCAGCTTATTTTGAATGAATGATCCTTTAAAAGCTCAAGCTTGAAGAATGTCTTAAATTGAAAAGATGACACAGAGATGAGTTCCATTTGAGCAGTCAATGCTGACACATTAATAATGAAATAAAATATGCTGCAGTGCTTCAAACATTTTGCAGCTGTTACAACAGCACGATTATCTAATACAGATATATTTACCAAATTCCACATTTTGTAGTACAAGCCTTTAAAATCAAAATACTTCTTTTTATTTGTCTAATCATTAACTGATAATCTAATGACTTTTCAAATGTAAATCTAATCAGTGGCATTAGAATTGTTTTTTTATTTCAAGTGGTAGGATAATCCCTCAGCTGAAACTATGCTCTGTTGTCACTTCCCCTCACATAACCAAATATTTCCAGCCACATAACAAAGTTCACGCATCCTTACAAAGTGAGACCCTCTCTCCCAGTCCAAAAGTAGATTTTGGGGCTCTAGAAAGATAATGTTTCCAAACCACAGCAATGTTTTTAGCCTTTATAACTAAAGTATATTATTAAAAGGACCAAAATAAAACATTTAACTTGGCTGGACACCCCCATAAAGCTTCAGTAATCAACAATTCTAATATTTTTATTCCCATCCATAAATTTTCTTTAACCTTGTACCATATCAATAACAACAGCTCAGTGAAGCAGCAGGAATTGTCATAAGAAAACCTGCTTCTGCACTAACTCATTCTTGCTTTCTAATTTAAGAAAAATATATTCCTATTGGGGAGGGGCTTTTTTTTCCCCCTCCAAGTATGTATATATTTTTTTTTTGTATCTTGTTTTATTACGTAAAATGAAAAAATACTCTATTTGAAAACTGAATTAAAAATACATCTGCAATCATAGTCTGTGAACACACAACATTTTTCATAATTGTAACACAGCAATATGGGGGAATAAACTGACAGATGGAGACTCCAATGCATTCTTCAGACTACACTACAGACCTCAACATATTAATGGATTCACAAGATCAGAAAGACAATATTTCTATTAAAAGAGATTAATATATTTAATACTAAAATTACTCATTTAATTTTTGTTTAATATTAACTCTGCAGAACTGCACATGAAATTTTAATTGTACCTGCACTGCTGCTCATTATGCTTTACCATGGCTGTGGAAAGAAGCACCTTAAGTTGTTTGCTCATCATGTTTTGTTGACATGATCTTAGTGGGAAACTTTTAAGTTACTTAAAATTACTAATTAAATTCTACAGATTTTACATTTGTGTTTAAAATATATTAATTTATCAAAGACAGTATTAGATGATCATACAGGACTCAATAAAACTGACAATTTTCTGTGCAAGAATAGCAGTGGTCCATGACCCTGAGGTTTTAGCTCAGCTGGTCAGAGCATGGTGCCACCAACACCAAGGTTGGGGGGTCAATCCCCATACAGGCTGTACATTTAGTCGCTGGACTTGATGGTCCTTATGGGTCCCTCCTAACTCAGGACTATCCTGTGATCTTAAAAAACTTCATTAGATTTATGGTCTGAGCCTAAGCTTTAACAAAGCTTAACCCATTTCCCTCTTCTTCTGAACACATTCCTCATCACATGGCCAACCAACCTTTGTATGCAAGCAACAGCACAAGCAAAAAATTCATGTGGATTAACCAGATCACAACTCATATACACATACACATTAATTTTTTCCCCAAATCTCTGAACATATCTAATACTATGTGCCATTTTCAATTAAGTGGGAAAAAAAAGACACTCTTTTTACCTTTTCAGCTGTTAACTGTTTTGATGGTTTTTCTGATTCTTTCTCTCTCTTTTTCTCTTCTTTCTTTTTTTCTTTTTCCTTCTGCAAAAAGAAAAAGCATTTTGCTACCACCCAATTTGCAAACATATTGAATGTCTATAGTCACACAGACTATAAACAGTGACCTTCAGTTACTCCCTTTTAAATCATAGTTTATGCTTTTATCTGGTCTCCTTCCAGAAGTGACTAATTTTGCTCAACTACTAATATTAAAAATATTGTAACTTTTAGATTAAATTCAAGAAATTCACTTTTTTACCTGCTCATCTGCTTTTCTGCTTAATAAGCAGAAGGAAAAAAGAACCAATACTGATTCTCCTAAGCTAAGCAGAGCTGAAGAGGAAAAATAATCTGCAAGTATAAGTATCTCTGTTAACTCTGATAGCCTCTGTCATTGAGGGTGGATGTCAGCTGCTTTGACCAAAGATCTAGATTAAGGTAAATTGCATTCTACTTTCTGCAAAAAGGTACTAATTTTTAAAAGCCAATCTAGTAGTCCTAAAAAATACTCCCGAATGTCAAAAAGTTGCCTTGGGCCATATGACAGGCCAGCTGAGTCATGAGACATTATGTTGTTCCAGAAAGTGAAAATATAAAGATCCCTTTACTTTGAATGCATCATAATAACATTACAGATACTTCTTCACTTCAATTTTTGATGAATGAATATGCCAAAATTACTGACCCATCTGACTGAAGCAAAGCATAAAATATGCCTTAAGGAATAACATGAAGAAGATTCAGACTTGCTAGGTTAGCAATTGCTTTGACAAGTGTTAGTCTGCCTGCATTTACCTGGTACACCTACAGAGTAGTACTGGTGAGTATATTTCAACACTAAATGGATGAAACAGTAGCTCCTAAATGTTCTTTTGGCCATTAGACTTACACCCGTTTGTTCAAAGCTTCAAAACAGCCTTGTTTCAGGAAAAGCTACTGTTTACAAGTTTCCCAATATTAGGCAGAAGGTTGACAGGCTAGATCTGTCCATGCAGCTCCAGTATTAAAAAGAAAACAGTTAATAGTTTGTGTCAGTAAGGAATATTTGCGAGTTTTTTCTTTTTTTTTTTTAACATCCAGTACATACAATTTAAACATTTTTATAGCATGCTATTCACTTAATATAGTTCTAACACTCAGATGAAGGTTTTGGATTTTTGTTGTTTTGGGGGTTTTGTTTGTTTGTGGTTTTGTTTGTTTGCAGTTATTTTTTGGAGGTGACTGGACACAGAGGGATCCAAGTAACACATTCTTCAAAACTTCCAGTAATCCATTTTCAAACCTTTCACCATATTTACCAGATTGATTTGGGCTACTCAAGTCCCAACTAACCCATGTGAATTATTTCACCAGGCATTAACATGAACACTCAGTTCCTGGCAAATCAGACTATCACACCAAGCACCTGCACACAAGCAACAGAAAGCAATGACCACAGTCATGAAACCCCAGTAAGGAAATTTGGGACATCTGTTTTGATGAAAAGAAACAGAGACCAACTTAGATTTCACGGAGTAAAAGAACACAAAAGTGAACACAGTGGTCCAAACGAGAGGCCTTGCCAATGCTGTTTCTCACCTGTGATAATGCAAGGTGTTCAAGAAATGTCTGTATGACTGGGACAAGTACAGAGCAGTATTTTATTTTGAGGTCACATAATAACCTGAGGCTTGCAGTCTTACTGAACTAGGATTACAAATGCATAGCCATGCCTTTCAATGAAGCTCAGCCTTTCTTCCACTACTGTTTCACTGACCCTAGTACCAACCAGCATTCTGGTATACACACAAATTACACTGCCACAGCAACAACTTTTTGAAGTCTTCCCTTTTCTGTTCCCACATCCCACTCCAACCTTCTCAAGCTGAATAATTTAAATAAACGTAATCTCTTGAAGACAACTGCATCAAAGGAAGTGTGACCAGCAGGTCAAAGGGACATGATTCTCCTCCTCTGCTCTGCTCTCACAGACCCTTCCTCTGCAGCTGGGACCCCCAACATCAGAAGGACATGGACCCACTGCAGCCCAGAGAAGGGCCACAGAAATGACTGGGGGCTGGAGCACCTCTCTCTGAAGTATAGTAGTGCCTCAAGGGAGCTTCAGGAACAATGGGTAAGGACTCCAGCAGGACAGTGACAGGAGAAGGGGGAATGGCTTTAAACTGAAAGAGAGCAGATTTAGATTACACACGAGGAAGAAATTTTTTACTGTGAGGATGGTGAGGGACTGGAAGAGATTGCCCAGGGAGGCTGTGGATCCCCTATCCCTGGAAGTGTTCAAGGCCAGGTTGGATGGGGTTTTGAGCAACCTGTTCATAGCAGGGGGCTGGAACTTGATGATCTTTAAAGGCCCTTCCAACTCAAACCATTCTATGACTCTACAATTCTATGATTTGATTCCTCTCCTCCCAGGAAAGGTTGTTTGAAGCGTCATACAAGTACTCTTACCTTTCAATCACAGTACCTTAAATTTCCTTAAATATATTTAAGGGAAAGCAGAGGTAAAGTTTTTGCAATTTTTCAGTATGTTCTGATTTCCAGTTTGACTTCAATGTACTTTTAAAGTATGTTTTGTCAAAGAAACCTCACTTCTGGAGTAAAAAGTATCTGGAAACATTTCTTTTTCAAGGACTCAAGAAGAAGGAGGGTTTGCAGCTAGTATCATATGGCAAACACTCTGTAAATGTGACCAAATATAAATATATGCTTCTTGTTGCCCTTAACAAATCTCTAAAAACTTAATAGTGAATATATTAAGACTTAAAATAAACTGTTCTCCTGTGCTTCTACCTTCACACCTTACAGAGTCTACAGAAAGAGTCTTGATTCTCAGCAACTTTATGTTCATTCATTTAATTTTTACTGTGGACTTGAAAAGCCACAAGTCCTTCATCTTCACACTTCCTGATTTCAATATTCAAGCTTTCTGCCTCAGCTCCATTAGATAAAAATGAATTCAGACTAAATAAAAACATTTCTCAGATGTTGCATTCATGCCAGAGCTTCAACTCAAGTGCTTCATTACTTGCAAAAGTAGTCAAAAAGCACTATGAAGATAATAAAATTAAATTGACTTTATACTGGTCTTAAATTGTAAGCAAATATTATTAATTTTTTTCCAAGTTTCATTTCTAATAACATGGCATTCTAGTTACACAGAAGAACTTTCAAGTGTGAACGCACCAAGAGAGGTAGATAAGAAAGTAAAGGCAAGCTTCATTCCTAGTGCCTGCTGCTACTCCTGGTACAACTTAAAACACATGACAAATTGAACAAGGCTTGTGATCTTAGTCCATGACACTGACATTTAAATTTTAATTAATGTTTAAATATAGCTGAACTAAAATAATTTATAACTTCTGTCCAATTTTTTTTGTATTTAGAAGGAAAAGGCTTGATTTATGTTCACATCATAAATTATTTCATATATTGTATAGTCTCAGTTTAGAGTGAAGTATCTAAAAGAAGCTAACACTGGATATTCACATTCTAAATATGCATTTTATTATTGTTGCAAATTATGACATTTACTGAAAGTTGATATAAATGATGCCCCATCTACTACTTGCTTGTGTGTTATGCTTCTCAAAGACCCATCTAAACAGTAAATGTGTTAGCACACACACATATCTCAGCCAGAAACATATTAAAACCATTATGAGTCAAATTAATTCTACATTTATCTCCAAGGAGAATGAACTAAATGGATGGAACAATACTGATAATTTAGAACCTGGAACAAGCAAGTAATACCAAAAAAGATAGCAGAAACTATTTCTGATGAGACAGGACAGTATCACTCATACCTATTAGCTGGGAATTAAGTGGGTTTTCCACAATTCTGTGACAGCAAATCAGAAGTGAACCAGAATTTTGACATACAAACACCAAGAAGTGAAAACCACACACATACTCTGCAGTTCTGCTGGGTCTTTTCATTTAGCTAGTCCAAGAAAAAAGGAGAGATGTATTTCAAATGTGTGAAAGATTAACAGCAATTCAAACTCTCCAGTTACCTCAGTGAAATTACTCTATAGAGATGTAAACATTTGTGCAAAGCAGTAACCTGATAAGAGTTACACCCAAAACCAATATACCTCTGCTTTGCTCTTCTCAGCAGCAGCTTGCAGAGAAGGAGAAGATGCCAAAGGCTGAGCAGCGTCAGATGATATCTGTACAAAATAGAGGAAAGAAATGAGAAAGAAAATAAGCAAGAACAGCTGGGAAGGGAGGCAGTAGAGGCCACTAAGAGACATGACTTTCATTCCTTTTGTTCAATAATATTGATGGAAGTGGTTACACGACACAGAAGAAACATAAAGAGGAGACAAAGTTGTTTTTTTCTTTTTTTTCCTGAGTACAATATTTAAAGGAAATGTTTCAGGAAGGAAAGTGTGACTTATAATGAAATTCACTAGGAGAGAATGCAAGTAAATGGACCTGGATAAGATCATATCAAAGGCCTAAGAAAAATAATTAGCTTTCATCCATTGTTAAATTTTTATCCAGTGTAACTACTGAAATATTAATGTCCTGAAGCATGAAGGCAGACTGTCCCAGTGGAGGGGGAGAGAAGAGAATGCCTTTGTTCTTGTTCAATGCAACAGAATATTTTTATTAAGAGGAATGCAAAATAACTCTGAAAGTTATACATTAATTAAAGTTCTAATTAACTCTTCTCTAAGAACACTCCAAGTACATAAAGAGCTTAGGGTTAATATAAAGCCACATCTTAGCAGCAGGTTGAAGGATCTCAGACAAGCGACACTTCTTTTCTAGGAATTGGTATGTAAAATTGCTATTAGCACCACTAGACTTCCAGAATTCTCCAAAAGGTGTAACTTAAATATGCAACAAATACAGTTTGCTCAAAAAAAAAGGATTTCCCTAAAGGCATTTTCATACATCTTCCTATCCAATTTTTTTATGCATAGCTGATTACTTTAATGGAAACATTATCTTGCTATTTCCCTTATTATAAAAACAAAACTGAAATAATTTTCCAAATATGTAGATGATCTTCAGAGCTATAAAGCTGACACTTCTACACTATTTTGTATCACATCTATTATCTAGAAGGAAAATTTAGAAAGAAATGAAGCTATAACAGAGTAGGTCATTATATTGGACCAAAATAAGCAATTTAAATGACATGTTTTTACTTAGTTTAAAAAAAGAAGCTTGCACTAAATGGAAACCGAAAGCTGATAAAAAACCCCATCATATCTCATGTCTAAATACCCAATATTTCTTACAGAAAATCCTACCAGTTTCTTTACATATACAGCTGGAATATTCATAGAATTTACATATTTAGTATTTTTACAAAAAAACCTATGTCTATGCTGGAAGGTGGTGCAGAGCTGCAGGAAAGATATTTATAAAGTTAATTTTTAAAACCAAATTTTATCTGCAGAAATATGAAACAGAATTCTCGTTTTTAAGTTTACTGTTTTATATTCCTTGGGTTATTAGCAGAGTTATGGATAAACCTGCTGCAATGATGCAGTTTCACAAACAGTAGCATTCTGTTGCTATAGGAACATGGGATCCTGTTTATTCTGACTGCACCACATTGTAACCAAATAATGCCGGAAAAATGATCAGGTAACTACACAATACCCTGAACTGTGTACTCGAACATCATGCTTCTGAGCTTTCAATTAGATAAAAATGTGTAAAATTCTGATAATGAATCATCATCTTTCAAGCTGCTAACAAGTGGGATTTTTGGAGTTTTTTCATTCTTTTGTTTACTACATATTTTAGGAGAATTTAAGCTTGATAGCACTCACAGGTGAGCAGCAGGTAACAGTAGCAAGCAGCTACTTGCCACACAGAACATGGAAGAGAGAATTTCATTAGGGGGTTAGGGGGAAAATCAGCACTGTAGGTGTTTGTCAATCTCCATCCTCCCATAATAGTTTTTAATCTTCAAATCCTCTTCATATGATAAAGGATTATCTAACTTAGAAGAAGGTAATTCTATGAAGGCCTGAAAGCAATTATCATAGTTTTGTCAATCAAGTAATGGAATCACAGAACTAATGAAGAAGTGTCATGCAAGCTGTCAGACAGAGCTGTGAGACAGAGTGAAAAGCAGTTGCTGTCTAGCCTGGGATATGGAACAGGATGTACAAGTTGAGAAATGCCCAAGCATAATTTTTAAAGACAGCCAGCATCACTACAACCACTTCAGGCAAAAAAGAGCACTTGAAAGCACACTTCACACATGCAAATATTCAACTAAACCAGAGAACAAAAGACATATGACTGAAGCTAATCTTTAAGAGAAAACACATTACAACGTATAAAGAACAGATTAAGTTTCCATAATGCAAGCAACAGTACAAGGTTGAGCTGCTGAACAGCTTTATCATCACTGCATCACGTTGAATTTGTTATCTACCAGGCTGCACCAGATAAGGAAAGCTGAATGAAAAAATCAAATGAAACCGAGTGGCTAGACAAAGCTAAACATGTAAATATTGTCTACCTAGAATTTTGCAAAGACTTTGACACCATTTTCCAGAGCATTCTCCTGGAGGAACTTGCTGCTCATGGCTTAGACAGGAACACTATTCTCTGGGTACACAGGGGCTGGGTGGCCAGGCCCAGACAGCAGTGGTGAATGGAGTCACAACCAAAGAGTGGCCAGACACTAGTGGGGCCAGTCCTGTTTAATATCTTTCTTTATGCAGGATCTGGATGAGGGGATGGAGTGCATCATCATTCAGTTTACAGATGTTACCAAGCTGGGCAGGAATGTTGATCTGTTGAAGGACAGGAAGGCTCCACAGAGGGATCTGGACAGGCTGGATCAATGGCCCAAGGCCAACAGCACAGGGTTCAACACAAGGAGGTTCCATCTCTTGCACTTGGGACTCTTGGAGATGAGTGACTGGAAAATTTCCCTGGGAGAAAAGGATCTGGCAATGCTGGTTGACAGCCACCTAAATTTCTCCATGAAAAATCCAAAAAGCAATTTCCTACCCTATTCCAGAATCCAAGTGAAAAAGCACACATTGATCTACTCTGACAACATGTTTGCACTATGCTCTGAAAAGCAGTCAACTAAAGATATCTTTGATTATTGGCACCTTAAAGTATCAAATAGTGACCTCTGTAACAAATCATACATACTGCCAGAAAAAGAATAAAGTTGGGTGATTGTGCGCATTACCAATGTACTGCAGAATGACAACTAGCATATGAATACATCATTTAAACTTTTAACTTAGGAGTAGTTACATCTTTTGATTAAAAAACTCAGAATTGCCTAAAACAAAGAAGGATGGCAAGGAGCTGTCTCTGAAGTTTTCATATTTCTCCACAAAATTTTGATTGCACTTCAGACCAGAAGACTTGAGGTCTCTTTTTTTTAGCAATTCTTGAATCTTCTTCCATTGTTTGTGTTTTGTGACTCATTTTTAGAAAGAGGTTACAGCAAAAATAACTATTCTGCACAATGAAATTCAATACACTCTTTAAAGCATCTGCTACCTTTAGTGCTAAGCAAGAAATTACATACACATGCAACAGTACTGTAAGATTTCAGTTTCACCTGTGCTCATTGAGAAACCCTTTGGTGCATAAAAAATGTAAGATCAGAAAAGAAAGAATCTGCAGATTTACAGTATTAGTCCAGTTCCCAGCCCCTTTTACATGTAAATGTGTTACCCATCCCCATTTTCCTCCCTAAAACACTTCTGTATTATCTCTTGTTACTTAGTGGTGGCACTACCCAAATACGTGCTAAGTTAACAGTTTGTGTAAAAGCAACAACACAAACAGTAGTTGGCCCAATGTCCTGATGCAGTCTGTTGACCCGACTACAATTCCAAGTAAAAAAAAGTAAGCTTTAAACAAGAACTAAATGAAGTTATCAGAAAACATAACATACAAAAACTAAGAATGATTTTACTTCAGTTTAGTTTGTACTGACATGTTTGTGATGCTATGTAAGTCACACAAACACTATTGGTCGTTAGGGTGTAAGTACTTCATAAAGTTTTCACCTGCTTTTATTTGTAGTTTTTCCAAAATCCAGCGTTGATGTAATGCATGCCATTATTCAGCCTTTTATTAAAAAGGATTCAAAGTTGAAGCTTTATAAGCCTATACTAAGCTTCCATTTAAATATAAAATGCAGGCTGCTATCATGCAGAAGATTCAAGACATTAAAGAATGAGTGTGTTATCAAACCACTCAGGAAGTCTGCAGCTGAACCAAATACAAAAGTGCCCTCGAGTGGCCAGTTTATAGACACACAATATGCAGGGAATTAGCCTAAATGAAGAGGACTATTCTGCTTTCATTTGACAGGTTTTAAGTTTAGCTGCTGCATATGTTTTTCTGATTTCAGCAGACTTTTGACTTCATTACTATGTATCTCCAACAAATGTTGACAATACTAAAATCAGTAATTTATCCTAAAGCAGTAGCAATTATAGACTGCTAGTAGATGGATATAAACACACAAATCAATTGCTTGATGTTTTTTAAAGAGGTCTATTCTTGAAATACCAAAAGAAGTGTAAGAATACTAATGTACTATTAACAACACTTACCTAGGAATTTTTGGAAGCTCTTAAGGCTAGCTGGCATGGCATTTTTTTTAATTACTAAAATGTCTCCCTGTCCTGGTTTTGGTTGGGGTAGAAGTTATTTTCTTCACAGTGGCTAGTAGAGGACTGTGTTTTGGATTTGTGCTGAAGGCAGGGTTGATTAATTACAGAGATGCTTTTGTTATTGCAGGGCTTACACAGAGCCAAGGCCTTTTCTGCTTTTTGTACCACCAGCCTGGTGAGGAAGCTGGGGCTGCATGGGAGGCTGGGAGGAGACACAGCCCGGACAGATGACCCAAACTGATCTAAGGGATATTCCATGTCACATGACATCATGCTCAATACTTGAAGTGTGGGGAAGAAGGATGAAAGGGGACAGTTAGAGTGATGCCATTTGTCTTCCCAAGTCACCATTACGCATGAGATGGCTGAACACCTACCTGCCTTTGGGAAGCAGTGAATTAATTCCTTGTTTTGCTTTGCTTGTGTGCCTGGTTTTTGTTTTCCCTATTAGGCCATCTTTATCTCAACCCACAAGTTTTCTGGCTTTTACCCTTTTCAGTTCTCTTCCCAGTCCTGGTGGCAGAGTGAGTGAGCAGCTGTGC